TTTATATTTACATTACATTCATTAAAATTAACCCCTGAATGTTAAATTGGTATCGTTATATTATCATCTACAGGTACTCATGTAATTAATAATAATTAAAATTGTGGCGCCTGTTTTATAATTGAAAGCAGACACAGGAGTAAAGAGGAACAACAGAAGAAGGCGTAGATTAACCTATAAAGTTTTTGCGAATAGTTTTTCGGGAATTGCAAGGGTTGACTCACGATAGTAGTAAAAAGTGTGTGCCCAACGAGTCTTGGGAGTGACGCAATTACACCTGATATAATTGGACGGCGAGTAAGCCGAAGAAGATCAATGAATAGATTGCTTTCAATTAACCTCATGAAAAATATGATTTATTACCTACCGTGACCATCCGGAATTTTGTGTCTTCGACCTAAATTTAACGGTACCACCTGTTAGAAGATGAATTACGAGAACGTTTAGAGCAAATGTATAAATATCAAGTACCGATCATAAATTAGAACGTCAGTCGTCCTTTAAGTCCACGAATGTGCACAGTTTAAAAGAATTGGCTTGCGGTTGCGGACGATTAAATTTTAACTGCCGCCTAGGCGTCACCGGGCGTCACTAGGCGTCGTTTAGCGTCTAATGCATTATTTGACATTATTTCTTGCATCTTTTTCAGCACATTAGGTATTTTTAGATTATGGTGATGATAATTTTCATATCACCGTTTTAGTTAGTTACTTGTAACCATCAGTCTATAAAAGTCTTTTAAATTTCCACCACCCCTTTATAGGAAACAACAAGAGAAATGTGAACTCGCCTTTTCCCCTATAATACATAAGAAGAAGAGTATGTAGTTTGACAGAAATAAAAGGGTATCTAGCACTATAGGTGTCATGTGTTATCCAGACATAGGAACAAAGAACACTTATTCCAAGGACATTCCTCTAGATCCCTTTCTTCAAACAGTGGTAAATTTTCTTTTTTATATGTTAAAGTATAGTAAAGCAAACTGAAAATTTCAAATACTAAAAGTGTTTTGTTCTGTGAAAGGGATATATTAAAGTTGCTTAAAATATTTTAACTCATAAATCCACCGAAAGTAATAATTTTTCGTTTAATCTTGCGCATTTCGTCTTGGTGTTCCATATTCGGTCTTGGATTTAATCCTGATCTTGTTCATTCAGACCATGACTGCAAGACGAAGACGAATTTTGATCATTACTACATATATTTCCATTTATTTCATACTCCTGCGTCTTTTATTCATTTATTTCTATATTCTATCACAGTTCCAGCAAAAGGCAAATGATCTAAATCATTCGTTTCTACGCTGGCTTGTGGTTAGTGTAATTTGAAGGCGATGAGACTCTTCATAGCTAAATAATTAGTAGATTTTAAATTTCGGACAGGGTTTTGAACGACCAATAAAATTACAAAATGGGACTCTTCGTGGCTATGCCCGGATTAGTAGGTTCAATTTTATACTTACATATTTTCGTATACGTACTCGTGCTTACGGAATACTTCAACATCTCTTTTTGCGTTATTCTGTTTAGATCTCTGTATCTTAAACGTACGCAGTAATCCCTTTATTTATCTGCCCGTACGTCCGTTTTTTCCTACAAAATCTTGTATCTAATTTCTCGTTTAGTTTATGTCCATCAGTTTATTAATTTAAATAAAACGGTACACAATATATGTTTCGGTTCCTCATTCAAATGACAAAAACGGATCTCAATTCCGTTCGATTAGTTTTCATCGATAACATTAAGAGATAGAGAAGAAGAACTAAACATTTGCATTACGGAATCCTAATTAACATTAAGCTCTTGGATATGGTCTGGATCAGTGTGTTAACATCTGCAAGTTCTTGCGAAGGTAGATTTACAATGTAATTCGGTGTGACTATCTAGTCCGATATTACAGCATTCTACAGCTAACTGATCTTTCAAACGTCAGATTAAGGGGTGAAACTAACTAACGCACCTGATGTAAATATCTTGAATGTTGATGTCGTCCACAGATAAGCTGTGGCAATGGCTGTGGCCGAAGGTATGTCGGGAGAATCACTTACTATAATAATAATAATAATAGGCTAACTTGAACTAAGTGCAACAAATACAACAGGCACCACATACACTCTGCTGTTGAATGGTTTACAATCAAAAGACAGTTAGGAGGAAGAGGAATAACTGATATTAAAAATCTACATTACAAACAGATTATTAATTTGCGGTCATATTTTAGAGCAAGAAGTGCTGATAGTCCATTACATATTCAATTTACGCCATTTCAACCTTTGGTACATCACTGTACCTTAATGATGCAGATTTTAATCTTCAGGACAAAATTATGAAAGAAAAATTCGAGATTGAAATGTGGAAATCTAAAGTGCTTCATGGAAAATATCGAAACCAACAACAGCATGAACATATAGATAAAGAAGCTTGTAATATATGGTTAAAGTTAAGGAAATATATTGTCAGAAACTGAGGGATTCATGAAAGCGATTCAGGACAAAATAATAAAAACAAAAAACTATGAAAAATATATTATCAAAAATTCCAAAATTTCATCGGACACATGCCGAGAATGCGACACATCTCGCGAAACGAAAGGCACAATAATGTTACTAAACAGATACAATCGCTGTTAGCCAAAACGTTTAAACCTCTATATCAGATAGAGCCGTACTATAAATACAAATCACAAAATATATTAGAACAGCACTTAGCCAATCTTTATTGGGATAGAGACATAATTACAGACAAAATAGTTAATCATAGCAGACTTGACTTTACACTAATCATTAATGAAACTGAAACAACCTACCTAATAGATGTTGCTGTACTAAACACTGAAAATCTTAAGCAAAAACATATTGAGAAAATTCAAAAATATATTCCTTTGGCTGATGAAATAAAAGAAATGTGGAATCAGAACACAGTTGGAATTATTCCAGTAATAATATCATCAATAGGCGTTATACCTAAATCATTACACACTAGCCTAGGCGAGTTGAAACTGCATAAATCTTACGTACATAAGTCTACAGAAATCAGCAATCCTTGATATATGCGGAATAGTACGCAGAATTCTTAACAATACTGATATATCCCCCTTTTCAGAAAACACAACAGGTAAAATTGGATGCAGAGTTTTTAATAATCACCGATCATATTTCAGGGCAAGAAATACTGTTAGCTCTATAAAATTTAAGAAAAAAAAATTTCATATCCCAAAAGATGTGAGTGAGGTTCTTTGGCATTAGCTCGTCTTCTCTTGCTCAAAGCTAACCAGTGAAAACTGAGAAGACTAGGAAAATAATAATAATAGAATGCCAATGTTTTAATTGTAAGGAATAGCACAATACGCTTTAGTTTAGTTGGTATATTTAGATATTCCGTTTTGGATAAATACGTATAATAAATTGATAAACAATAATTATTGAATACAGATTTCGGTTTCGTTCGTTTACCTTGATACGTATTTCGTTCTGAAAACGTTCCTGACCTTAAGTAACAAACCCATTACGTTAACGTATCCATTTATTCTTTACGCATATTATTGTTAGCACACGTTTGAGAAGTTATATGATGTAGTTGTTGCTGCCAGTCATCGTGGATATGACAAATTCTTCGGCCGAATATCGCCAATTTGCGTAAAATCTTGGACATGCTACGTTGTCGTATGGAAAGAAGCCAAGTCCAAATTACCCGACAGAAATCCTGCAGCCGAATGTCACACAAAACACCTATGCCACGGACATGCTGTCGCATGTCCAAATTCTTCGGAATATTTCTGAATCATTCCGATGACACTGCCTTCGAATTCGTTACTAAAAATAATATGATCACGTTCTAAATCGTTTAAGAACAGCATGGAAGAGATTCTTAAAATATACCTTTGTTGTCAAAGCAGTCTACTGAAGGAACTTTTTGGCTTATTTCTGATTAGATTTACTATTTTATCCCAACTATATGCTCTTAGTTTAATAATTGTTTCTTATTTTACGAAAATTTTTAAATGTTGTCAATACCTACTGAGTTACAATCGTGTTTTATTAACATAGTATCAAATGAATTATACTTCATTTGTTTTTCTAGCGATGTGCCCCTTCCAATGTCTTGGATGCGCACTGGTAAAATCGTAGATAGGGAGAAAAAAGCTCATTATACTCTCGACTCTTGTTCATTAAGCATACTGTTTCATACAGTACCTGCCAAAAGTTTTGTTCAATCATCAATAGTAGTGCGAGTCGAAAACAAGTGTTAAAGCCTTTAATATGTCTTCAAATATAAATAAACATCTTGTTGATATTTTCAGTTGTAAATGATACCAATAACAGCACATTTGAGCAATACAATTGTAGTGGATAGAATGGTCAATTTTTCCGTGCAGTACTGTACGGATTATACGCTCCTCATCGGTTAAGAGTTGTCTCCTTTCTTTTCTGGCCTAGTGCTGTTCTTTTCTACTTTGCGCCGGTCAAACTGAAGGTCACATCGCTACAGAAACTAAACGAAGTATANTGGAATTTGCAGAATTTCAATAAAGATTTCGTTGAACAGTTTGAAGATTCAATGAATCCTAATTATACAACTTGATTCCTAACAAGCGTTCTTAACTGTTTACTTGTTAGGTAAAATTGTCATGTTCAGATTTTAATTGATTTTACAATGAGTAGACGCAAAATTTGAATAAATTAAAGACGCATCATTAAAAATACATATTTAAATTTAATTTTAATTGGCCAGACTATCACAATACACTATTTCTTAGAAACTGGATTCCACGATATTTTTAGTTCACCAATTTCGTTTATTTGCATATATTTTTTGTTGACTCAAAAATGTAAAAACATACAAATTACAATAAGGTATACCCAAGTTTTTAACTACAATAATTATTATTTTTCATAATTTCTTCGTAAAGTAGACTGTAGACATTCATAAATAAATAATTTGGATACGTCGGAATGAAAGAAAATTCATGACATCTGAAATGTTCTTTTATTTGTTTTTTAGGTACGGTGAATGCAAATGGCGAAACAAAGAGGCAGAGGACATCGTATACGAGATACCAAACATTGGAATTAGAAAAGGAATTCCACTTCAACAGGTACCTGACGCGAAGGAGGAGGATCGAGATTGCCCATGCACTGTGTCTGACAGAAAGGCAAATAAAGATCTGGTTCCAAAACAGGCGAATGAAATGGAAAAAGGAACACAAAATGGCCAGTATGAATATCGTTCCTTATCACATGTCCCCTTACGGACATCCTTATCAATTTGATTTGCATCCTAGCCAGTTTGCGCACCTTGCTACTTGAGAAGTTTACATGTGATGTGTTTTATTTCGTAGGTATTTCATTTAAGTCATTTTCTTTTTATTCTCTAATGTTATTTAATTATTATTTCTGCGATAAATACACGAAGTACGTACTCTAAGAAATTAGATCAAAATGTTTATTTTTTAAGTAGAACCTAATTATTTTATTGCATGTTATTACCTGATAACGAGCATGGCGTTTTGCAAAGCTTTTTCAGCACATACTTGCGATTGGCTTATTTATTTATTGTCTTAATTACATAAAACAGACACCAGAAGTTTATTACTTCCTCATATCGCAAAAATTTGTAGATAAATAGAAAAATATCCTAATAATTGTTATTTATTAATCATTCGTTCTATTACCCAAATTACGTAAATTTATGCAAAGATTTGTATAATGTGCTCGAAAATATTAATGTACTTATTTGATTAAAATTAAAATTAAGAGGAATACCTCTGTTCGGTTTCAATGTATTGGTTTTTGTATATTAAAATCCTTCGGGTGGTGGGGGATCGAAAGAGGAGGTCTCCCCCACCACTGTACCATAAAAAGTTCGTGGCGGTCTCACCCCCATAANCGACGAGGCCTCTTTGTTATATCTAAGGAATATTCTCTGGCCCATAGCGTTTCAAAGGATCTCCGAATGAGCCGTGGTATCGCGTTCGATTTGACAGTTTGGAACATTTTGAAGACCAAGTACAGACTATTGTGTCTGCCTGACGGACGACGCAATAACTATTACCTAGTTTCAGGTTTTGTTCAAATGACCACCCTCTTTCGATCCCCCACCTCCACCCGCATGAATATAATTTTTTTATTGAATTTTATTTGAATTATAGTGTATGAAAATTGTCAAAATAATCAACTTTCAACCCTATAACTTTTTATGAGGGTGAGACCGCCGCAAATTTTTTATGGTACAGTGGTGGGGGAGATCTCTTTCGATCCCACCTACCCCCACCCCTTCGGGCCGTCATCTAGACATTTACCAAAATCGTTATTAAGCGTGTGTTCGGAGCATAATCCAGTAAACCTTGTATTACGCATTAAAATATATATATCTGAAGTTAATTATTTAATAAGAGAACTACTTATTATCACATAAAAATGATTCTTTTCGAATTGGTCATGCACCTACACGCATTCCTTTATTTCAGATTTCCATTTAGCGTCATTGCAAGACGAAGGGTATGCATTCCACCAAGCGATGGGTATGGGCGGTATGGGGCCCATGCAAAGGGGTCTGTACGCGTGCGGCAGTCCCTACAGCTAGCCATGGGCCTCCTACAACGGGGACTGCGGACCGTCCTAAATGGACGTCCACCCATCTTATCGGATCTTAAAATGCAGTCCTCGGCTAGCGATACCCTGACGAATGCTAATCGCTAAACCACAAACTTTTTACAGTGGAATTCGCTAGTGTTCGACATGATGCATCGCTAGTTAATAAACCAGTGCCAATCTCATGACTCAATACATACCTCCGCTACCAAGTGATAGGATATTATTATTTATTAGTTATACTAATCGAAGGCGTTTGCTGCAAAATTTCTGTCATCTGATTATTCGGTACGTAAGTAGGTAAATTAATTTTCTGCGAAAATCATTGCCAATTTCGCACAACACTTATTACAAATTAATTAAATTGTGGGTAATCAAACCGTTACAATTTTACTGGGAATGATTTTATTCACATGTTTAAACAAACGCTGCCGCCTCCGGTTAAAAAATTTATTGTTTTTGAAATAAAATAACAGTTCACAGTGCAATATACCCACATGCAATGGGTACATAAATTGCTGGTAGTTCAAAATATTAAATCTTATCAGAAACCCGTTGTGAAAATTGATTTATTCATGAATTAAACAATTCAAATTTTAAGTAGGCTCAGTAAGTGTCGAAATATGCAGTTTTAGTGGCTGTGCACCCGAAACATTAAAAAAAAATTATAAATAAAATGGACAAGTACAACACGATTGTAATGAAAACTTACAAAGCAGTGACAGTGTGATTATAAATGCTAGTGTTACGAAAATGTACATATAATTATATTTAATATTGTTCAATTTCCTGTTTGTATATATTGCCAGTATGTACGAAATTTATTGTCATTATTATTGTACACATACCCAGTGCAGAATTTGAAGTATATTAATTGGTTAAGTTCAGCACAAATACATACATTCATCAGTTATTATGTTATCACAAGTGTAAGAAATAAATTCGATAATTAGATCCGTTGTTATTAGTATTTATCTTATTACTAAGAAGACTAGAAACGACTAGAAACTAGATAGGGACACGAGTCGTAACTTCTGCTTATTGGACTAATAGACGCATTCGTTTCTTTTCTTATTACATTTTTCAAAAATCGGTTATGTATATGCGTTCTTGTCGCAAACCAACACATCCTTTGATTATACGTGCATATCGTAATAATATGACAACTGATAATAGATTCGTTGGTTTCCTTGCTTTACTGCAACTTGTGCGTACGGATTTTCCAAAAGTGTGTTGTGCGTGACAAGAAGACATGCACACAATTAATTTTTGAAGTATTAACGTTAAGTGAAAATGACAAACGAAAATACTTAATACTGAAATTGTCACCGTGAAGTGACTCCAGCATTTTGTATCCTTTATTATTCATTACGATTTTCAGAACTATTCGATTTGGGTTTTTTCTCGTACTTCTAGTCTTCTTGCTAGCAAGGTTTTCTTACAACACGATGCATCTATCAGAAAACGGTATCCTGTGTTTTTAAGGAATATTATTATTTAATTTTTAGTCTGATGAACAATAACCGAATGTTCTTAACAGTGAAATTAGTTGCATTAACTTTCAAACGTTAATAGAATTATGATTTGGGCTGAAGTCCCGTGGTCTAAATGGTTAGGTCCAAACGCTTCGTGGCTATCTTCAGCAGTACTTCCTTATAACATGGGCGAGTCATTGCCGCAAAGATAAAACCTTCATCTACAGTTTTTATGAAACGTCTGGACTTAACCACGGTCCTTCAGCCGGAATGATAACTATCCATGGATTCCGAACGTGAAAGCGTTTGGTTTGAAAGATTAAAATGCAGACAAATCTTAAAATTTCTGGGAGAACTGAATAATGCGATTCAAACCATTTTCGAATTAAATTCCGGAACAAAAAGTATTTCTTACACTTGCTGTGTGAAAATTGAAATCATGTAGGTACCTACTTGTGTTAACGTAAATTGTCACGCAACTCTGAATTTTGTCACGCCGTACTATTAATTGAAAAGGTTGGTATAAAATTGTATTATATGTATAGGCTCTCGCATTGTTTTCCCCTTTTTTTGTTTTTCTTTCTATTATTTATAATACGTTTCTCATGTTCAGTATGAGTGAATTTAGGTTAGAATATGAAGTATATAAATTTTACTGTTGTAATTGTCCAAATAAATGTACTGTATTACAGAAAGTCTGTTTCCCATTTTTACCATGCCTTTTATTGACAGCAACGTAAGTATTTATCTGAATAAGATCATTACAGAAAAACTAAACAAAATTAAATTTTTGGTCCTTGGTTTGTCGAAAACTTCATGTGTGGATCACGATTATGCCCTTTTTGGTTGGACAACCAAAGTCGAGTTGTACAGACAAGAAATTGAAATAATAAGAAGGGAAGTAATTTCGGAAAACTTGTGATCATTAGTTTATTTCTGTTAATTAGTTACGGTAGTTATAATCCAGACTTTTTCCGAGCTGTTTTTATTTCCTTCTTTCTCGCCAAAAGCATCTTCAGTAGCGACATCGCTGATGGTCCATTATGACTTATTAATTGCGACTGAAGCCATTACCGAAGATGTCGTTAACAAGAAGCAGTTTATTTAAATGTATAATTGAGAAAAGCGGCTTAAAATTTCTTTGAGGTGTTGATCTCCATGAAATTATTTTCCTTTTGTATTTGTTCCATGCTTATATATTACATCGTACACATACAATAGGTATAATTTTCTGTGCGATCATTTTGATAGCCTGGAAACAAACGCGAACTATCTAAAAGGTTTACAGTTCCATGTGGTAAGGATCATTTTATTTTCACGTATCAATTTCTGTTGGTCACGTAGATGTCTTTAACAGGACCTCACCGAGCTTTACGAAAACCGTGAACTATCTGTGTAGAGGGCGACTCACTACTCATCGTCTAACAGAATTTATCCATATTATTATTAATATAGTGTTAGTTTGTTTATGACTTGTGCAAAGACGACAGTGAATGGTAAGAATATTACAATATACGATAATAAAATTTATAAAATCTAGCATAATACTCACTCACATACTATGAGACAATTTCACAATTATTTATGAATCATCATGGTCTTTTGGTCACTTTTACGTAATACCTACCAAATAATATTATGTTAATATTTGCATAATATCTAGAGACCTAAAGGGGTTCGTTTGTGAGGTTTTATTCTTGAGAAATTAATAAATATATATATAAATTTTCTAATTTGTAATCCTTGAACCTTTATATTTTGAAAATTTAATATAATGACTTCCGTAATTTCTTTTCTGGAGGTGTCAAAATGTGCTAGTAGAATTTTCATTTACCAAGTGGTATATAGGGGAGAGGCTGTTCAAAGCAGGTATATTTTGTTTTTAATAATATATTAT